CTCCGCGGAGTGTTTCGGGATAAACCACCCGTGGGCTGAAGCATCCTCCTCACAGGGGTGGCTGGGTCATTTCCCGACATCTCCTCACCCGCGGTGGGGATGTGCACTTCGGAAAAACAGGGTATGAGGGGGTGGGTAGCCAGCAATTTCTGGCAAATCCCCCCCTTGTCATGGGTTTGGGGGGCCGGAGTCTCTCTTGTCCTCGAGCATGGGCTTGCAATGGGGAACCCCCATCCTCAACCATCCTTGGTGGGTCTCCCCATCCTTGCTGGGTCCCCATCTGATGGTGCTGTGTCTCTCTGTCCCCCTCCCCATCCACAGCTGGAGCAGAACAAACCTCAAGACATTGAAACAATGGCGACCAGCCCACTACCCGGTCCCACCGATATCTTGTTGCCCTCCCCGTCCAGCGCGTACCCACCGGACCCCATGAATCAACCGAGGGCCGGTCACAGCGCCATGAAACCCAACCAAGTGGGGCAAGTGATCCTTTATGGCATCCCCATCGTCTCTTTGGTCATCGACGGGCAAGAGAGGCTGTGTTTAGCTCAAATTTCCAACACCCTCCTCAAAAACTTCAGCTATAACGAGATCCACAACCGACGGGTGGCTTTGGGCATCACTTGTGTCCAGTGCACACCAGTTCAACTGGAAATCCTCCGCCGGGCTGGGGCGATGCCTATCTCCTCTCGCCGTTGCGGTATGATCACCAAGAGGGAAGCAGAAAGGCTTTGCAAGTCTTTTTTGGGGGAGAACCGGCCCCCTAAATTGCCGGATAACTTCGCTTTCGACGTATCCCACGAATGCGCATGGGGTTGCCGAGGGAGTTTCATCCCAGCTCGTTACAACAGCTCCAGGGCCAAATGCATCAAGTGCAGCTACTGCAGCATGTACTTCTCCCCCAACAAATTCATCTTCCATTCCCACCGCACCCCCGACGCCAAATACACCCAACCCGACGCCGCCAACTTCAATTCTTGGCGCCGCCACCTCAAGCTCACCGACAAAACCCCTCAAGACGAGCTGGTTTTCGCTTGGGAGGATGTCAAGGCCATGTTTAACGGGGGGAG